CATGGAGCTCCACCGGGCTGCTGGAGCAAGCAGTGCCTTCCCACCTCCCCTTGCCTTGGACACTTCTGCAACAGCTTCTTGCAGCTTCCAGAAAACAAAAAAAGCAGGAGAAGAAATCCTTCACTTGTGCATGTGCCATCCCTAAGTACTGTTTAAAGCCTGGTTCACGATTTAGGCCTCAGCTTCCAGAAAACAAAAAAAGCAGAAGAAATCCTTCACTTGTACATGTGCCATCCCTGAGCACTGTTTAAAGCCTGGTTCACGATTTAGGCCTCAGCTTGACGTCAGGCACACAGATAACCCCACGGCAGTGAGGTACATGCTGAAGCACTTTGCTAGGCGGGGCGGGCTCTTCCTTCTCCCTTCCCAGCCCAGGTTTCGGCATTGTTACGCCTTTTTCTTTCGGGATGATTACTCTTGTCAGCTGTGAAGGACGGGGTAAAGGCCACTTGAGCTGAGGGGCCTGAGCTCCAGAGCTACTGTCTGACATGACTCAAGACGCCTTCAGTAATGCGTATTTTTCATTCGTGAGCGCCACGCATCTGTAGCATCTGACTATTACGTCTGGTGAAGTGAGACCTTTGAAACAGGGACAGGTGACCCCCAGCCACACTTCTGTTCAGGGTGTTTTGTCGATGCTGGGTCAGTGAAACGCTGAGGGAGTATGCACCAGGCATTTCTTGCCAGGGTGTGTGCTGATTTGCAGTTTAATTGATGAACACTGTAAATAACTGCAGAGAAGGAATTAATCAGTGAACATGCAGGCTGCACTCTGGTGAGCTGGGAGCAACTGCTCAGCCTAACGGCTGGTGGAAGCGAGTTTTTGACTACTGCAGGGGTGGGGAAAAAACCCCCAACTGCAGCCAATAGGAAGTCTGTTGTAATACTTTTGGCACAAAACAGGGTGCAAACAGCTTCAGGCAGTACCCAGAGAGAAGTGGGTAGTCCCCCCCACCCCAATCATCCGTTTTCACTGCACTAGAGAGCTTAACGCTTCGGATACAACAAGCCTTAGTCAATGGCAAAGGGCAACACTTCAAGAGCGCCAGGGTTAGGGGGCCAATGTGCACACAGCCCCCGACACCTTCAGCTCTGTTGTGCTGTGGTGTCCCCAGTCCCTGCTGCTGACACAGAAATGGTTTTCTGATGCTCGTAAAAAGCACGTTCGGCATCTGGACAGTAGAAATACCTCTGCTAACGCGGGCTTAGCGGCACGTATTACTCGCATATTGCACTGGCATTCACCTGAGGCACACGGTGACCCAAACTGGTGCTGAGCTGCACCTCAGACACCAACATCAGCACACATCAGGGACCACAAAAGCGGCACAAACATGGCAAGTTGCCCACTAAGGCTGCAGGTGACAGGCATCTTTCTGCAAATCTGTATGACAACTGTACAGAAAACCACCAGTATTCTGTGGTTGACAGTGGCAATGCTGAAAGGTGTCTACATCGCATGGCTTATGGTCTCACCTCTGCTGTGAACGCAGTCTCAGATGCAAATTCTCAACAACGTGTTTAAATGCTGAAGTGTGATGGTGAGAGAGTTGCGAGCGTCTGTTCAGCAGAGCCTGGGACGAGACCGAGGTTACTACAGCCACATTCTTGCCTTGGAGGCAATCAAAAGGAGATCAGGAGGTTCCCTGCTGTTTTTTACTGCTGCGGACATGGTGAGAAATTATAAACCAACACATACCCCATGTCATGCGACTGTGTGTGCTAAAAAAGTACCCAAAACTGTGGGTGGGAAGTAGGGAGGAAGAGGGGAACATTTGTTTTGGTGAATCCAAGTGCTCCAAACAGCAGAGAAAAAAAAAAAAAACAACCCAATGCTGTAGCATTTCCTTGGGGCCATACCTGTTTACGAAACGCAGTGCAAAAATGACACTGACTGTCTTGGCGTGCATCCCCGTCCCCAGTGAGGGCTGCGGTTCGGCATCCACATCACCACGGGCGTCTGCAGAGCTGCCCTTGGAGCTGCTGGGGTTTGAACCGCGCAAGGAAGGCTCTTCCTAGCCTGCGGCCTTAATAATCTTCTACATCCCGCCGTCTCACAGAGTTAACGTAAAGCCTGTCCGTCTTCATCTGTCGCCATCATCTCTTCTGGAGGGTCGTGTTTATTTTCGCAGTATACAGCAAACCTGGGATACAAATTTCCTTCCCCTTACACGAAGCAGAGGCCTAGGAAGTCACGCTGCTGATGGCAGCGTATTACCTCCCGCACACCTTCAGACAGGCAATGATGATCCTAGATCTGCCAGTTTACAACAGCTCTTTATTTTACTCGTATTATAAAACATCACCACAGGGCTTTAGGTAAACAGCGTTCACCTGTTCCAAATCATGAGCTTCATCTTCCCCTTTATTATAAATACTAACAAATTAACTTTATTTTCCGTCAGCAATTCCATAAAAACTTAGTCTAACTGGACATACTTTTCAGCGATACCCTGAAGAATTTGAAGTAGATGTCTTGTATATACATCAGTTTTATATATACTTATATCAAACCTCACCATTTCTCTATATCACTCATTATCGTCATCTTTCACTTAATAAACCATGTCAGCATTATGAAAATATGAACAACCATCTAGTTATTTTGCTGCTTTATCAGATATTTAATGACCGAACAGAGAACTTCAAAATTACATGAATGCAATGGAAAGTCAGGTACATGTTCGTTTACGATTTCCACACGGATGTTTCATGTTCCAGAACCTCGACCACATTTTAAAGGTCCCTCAAAAGTTTCCAGTTACCTCTTTCTTTGAACACGTACACACCAAAAGTAATGATGCGCGTGTATGTATTATACATTACATACCATATGTAATTCTACGTATATTTATGAGCAAATATACGTAACATACTCTGAATATACATATGGTATGTAATATATGTATGCCTACAGAGTGAGAGATAACACAGGCGCGTTATATGCACTGAGACATACACATGTATGCATAAATATATACATATATATGGTAAATTCTTCCCTCTGATATGTATACGCTGCTCTTTCTGAGGACTGGGTGCCTTCCACGGAAACCGACTCCCACCAGCATGAGCTGTTTACTTCCAAAGGCACAAGCAAACCTGTCCCCAACCCACTGAACTTCGGTGGGTTTTGGCTCACATCTCACGAACTCATGCTCTCAAGCGGACCCATCTGGTCCTCAGGTTAGGGTCTAAATCGCTAAATTAAACACAGTTGACACTATAATGTATTTCACCAAATAACCAAGAGCACTTAAAAAATAAAAACCACACGGGGCCTGATTCTCCTCCTGCCAATGCCCATTTTATCCCGCTGTGACTCGACTGTCCAAAGAGACTGCTGTGCGCAGTGAATAGCCTGTGAGTAGCGCGAGGCTGCTTGTCTTGGCTTCAGAGTGTAATTCACACAGACTTTCAGTAGGTTGAGCTGTTTATTTTGCATTTGGATTTGCAAAGGAAAGAACAGGCTTTTTATGGAAAGATAAAAGATGGATATTCACTCGAAATAACAGCATAGATTGTACATTCTTAAGTGAAACGTGCACCACATAACCTTTGGGTTTAGTTATTCATTTGTTAGATAAATATTTACTTTCTGAATGTGTTTATACTTCTATGCACCTGATTAATCAGGACAACTCTTATTAAAAGGTTTTAGATGAATACTCTACATATTAAAAATACATAGTAAATTCTGAAACTAGTCGCTGCTAAAAAGCAGATCTTGTATCCTGCAAAAATCTGAAGCACCTGCTTAAAATGAGCGTAGGCCCACGGATGGCCTTTACCGTAAGTAAGTGCCTAAATACCTGCAGAACCAAGATCCTTTATTATTCAAAGGTTAAATTTGGGATCTCATACCTGAGAACACGTAGTGGTTACTACCATGAGTAATCCCCACTGAGGAGGATGTTCTGTCTTGCTGCAATAGCCAGAGCAGACTCTGAGGGCAGGAGAGACTTGACTTTACTCATGTATGAAAACCAAAGAAGGTGGGATTGACTCTTTAAACAGCAGAGAGCAATGATTACCCACAAATCTTCCCAAACACTACACTCTATTTCCCAAGAAGGCCAACTTTGCATGATACATAAATAACTTCAAACATATTTTTCTCCCTACATATATATGTATAACATAAAGATAACAAATCTCTATTTTTAAAAATGAACTTTGAATTAAAAAAATTGCTTTTGGACTGAAACTACGTACCTCAAGTTTCTCCCATGGCAATTCACTGACAGGCAGGTTATAAACCCCAGAAAACAGGAGTGTGTGGTTGGGAATGCTGACACAGCCTCCTCTTACCCTGCTGTGGTCCGTCTTGGTAGAGAGATGAGCAAGATGCACTTTCGCACACAGGTTGCCAGAAATCCTACAGCTTATTCCTTATGTGCTCCTTCTGCTGTTAAGATTCCAAAATTACTTAAATTGCCAAAATAAAAAAAAAAAAACAAAACCAAAACCAAACAACCAAACCACAAAACTCCCCACAAAACCAAAACCAGTTGAAACTTGTGCTTCTAGAATGCCCTGACCCTGTTTGCAAAGCACTTCCTGACACCCGGCTTTGGCATCGCTTTGCCTTCCTTACTGCATGCCCACTGAACTGTTCTGTGGCTGAAGTGTTAACGTGGATGTTGTGTAAGTGTATATATTAAAGACAACTCCCAAAATAATTGGGTTTCTGCAAATTAGATTGGTAAATCTTCTTCACCTCTGGATTATTTCTTTTTGTAGGGTCTAGTGCTACTTTGGTTCAACCCAATGGGGAACGTCCCACTGAAGTCAGTGATGCAAAAGGAGCTGTTAGACATTCAAAGACCTCTCCAGCCAACCTCTCTGTGATTCCTTCTCTCACAGTAATTTTTTTAAATGTGCCCATTATCACCAACTGACAGTGTTAAATTCACTTTTTTTTTTTTTTTTTTAATACAAACAACAGTTACCACAAAAGTATGAAGGGAAAGCCATCAATTTGTCTGCAGGTTATTACCTATTCTTATGACACAAAAGAAAAATCATTTACAGGCACAAACTGTACATAGTATTTGGTGAGGGACAGTGTATTTGTAGTTTAGAGTAAAAAAAGGATTGCTTCAGTGGTAATTAAAATAACTATTGACAAGATACAGACTTTAAAATCAAGAAAGTGTGATAATTTGGCTACAGAGATGATCATTGTATGTCTAACAGATTTGGATAGTAGAAAGGTGAGTAGAGGGATCTGGGGAAGGAAAGACACTGTCATGCAGAACAGCGTTAGTTCTTGCTCAGTATACTCTTCAGGCTTCTCTCCACTGCTTCATCTAATTCCTCTTCCAGCTCTTCCTTCTTGGACATGGCCAGTTTGGACTGATAATCTTTTACTATTTGGTCTATATATGGTGCGCTCTGAGTCCCATGCAGCATCAGTGTCCACTCCTTCAGCACGCCCCGCTGCGGCAGACTGCCCACAAACCCAATCTCTAGAGCCCAGGTGCCTCGGGGGTCTTCTCCCCAAGTGTGTGTGGTCATGAAAGGCCACTTGTCAAACCCCACCTTGGAGTCGTCGTCCCTGGGACGCCGACTCAGTAAAATGGACTTTGTTCCCATTGGCGAGGTCATGTTGATGTTGAGGTCTCCTCGCCTGGTGGAATTCACAGTTATAACTGCTTGGACGTGTTCAAGGTATCGGACGAAGTTTTCCTTCCCCTCACAAGCATCAGTTGTAAGTGTGAGGACCAGCTTGCCACTTGGTGGTATCTTTCTGCAGGTCAAAACACGATGAAACAGATTAAAAGGATATACACAGCACAACACGGCTCATGCTAAAACTACTGGGTTTTGGTGCCTCGCAGAGAAAACAGTACTATTTTCCTTATTAATACATGGAAAAGTAAGGAAATAAGAGTTGCGAACTTAGCCAGAAATAAGAGATTCTCTTTTGAGAAAATGATAGCAAAACCATTTGAATATGCATTATGAAATGTACACCTACCCAAAGAGAGAAGGAAGAAGATTAAGAAGTGGATAATGCTCTTTAAAAAAATATTAGCATATATTTAATAGTTGACTTTACTGCTCACTAGTCTATTGGGCAATTGCATAATTATAGAATCATAGAATCATAGAATAGTTTGGGTTGGAAGGGACCTTGAAGATCATCTAGTTCCAACCCCCCTGCCATGGGCAGGGACACCTTCCACTAGACCAGGTTGCTCCAAGCCTCATCCAGCCTGGCCTTGAAGCCATCCAGGGATGGGGCATCCACAGCTTCTCGGGGCAACCTGTGCCAGTGCCTCACCACCCTCTCTGGGAAGAATTTCTTCCTGATATCTAATCTAATCCTCCCTGATTTCAATTTGTACCCGTTACCCCTTGTCCTGTCACTACAGGCCCTTGTAAAAAGTCCTCTCCCAGCACCCTTGTAGCCCCTTCAGATACTGGAAAGCTGCAATGAGGTCTCCTCGGAGCCTCCTCTTCTCCAGGCTGAATGATGATGTGTATAGTCAGTAGAAGAACCATGAGCAGTCAGTCATGTCAGGTAGTCCCCTCAGAAGACAGTCGCAAGCGGCTGGAGTCAGAGGACCCAGCTGCACAGCATCTCGATGCAGTCACGTTAAAGCCTACATCCTTGTTCTGATTTGGAAATCAGCACAAACATGGATTTGAACCAGCATCCGCTCATTCAAAAAGTATTTTCCCGTGAAAATTGCTGTCCTTGACCTGGTACAGGAGCACACACACCGAGGAAAGCCGTCACGCTTGTTTACTGAGTCGACAGAAGTCACAAGCTTCTCGGTTGTTTTAACTCAATCCTTCTGAAGGCAAATGCAGAATTAACTGAAGGACATCTGTCCCAAGTACTAACCCCACGGCTGGGCTCAGTCCTGCTGCATTTATTTTGCAAGGACCCTGGCATCAATTGGAATCCAGATCCCCACTACCAGCACACAGGGCTCCTTTGCTGGAGGGAGTCGGAAGTTAACAGGCAAGAGGAGGAAACCACTTTGTGCCAGCCCTATGCTATCACTCACAGCTGTTAACAGTCTCACCAACATTTGTCGACAGGATGAATTACAACAGGGAGCAATGTTACACCAGCGGTGCTCTTGGCTCCTTGCGTGCTGGGCACCCACACTGCGTTTGCTCCCCGTGTGGGTGAGGAAAGCCAGGAGGTGGAGTAATTTCCAAAATGTGCCTCCAAAGCTGCCAGGAAGAGGCAAGGGCGTGCTGGGGCAGATCAAGGTGCATCCGTGCCCCCCCAGCTCTCGCAGAGGAGGCTGGTAGCCACGCTGCACTGGGCAGTCCCACTTGGGATCCTGGTGCAGGCCCGAAGGCAGCGCTGCAGTGCCCAGCCAGCAGTCCGGCTAGGCCCCTCGGGCCAGGATGCAACGGGCAATTACCAGTTGCCTCAGAAACTGGCTGGGTGTGAGCAAAATTCTCTGCATCTTCACCATCAGCATGCTGTGAGCAGTGTGACACTTTGTCTGAACAAAATACTTGAAAGATAAGAATTACTGCAATTGTTAAAAAAGGGAGTCAGTCACAAGAGACACCAGTCAGCTCATCATTACCTCTTCCAGTGGCTTCTCCCTGACCTGGGTTTTGCAGTAAAATAAGGAAGAGAGTCCCTTTTAAAGGGCATTGACCACACTGTGGTAATGAATACCTTCATTTCAAAACAAATGAGTACCAGCCTTTTCCCTCTGCTAATGAAGTAGTGCGTTCTTCAGAGAGCAGTGAAAGCACTTCATTCAAGCCTAGCTTCCAGGAATTGACTTCTTCTGAAGTCATTATAGCTTAGTACATCGCTAATTAGTACATCAGGCCAGCCTCTGCCCACCCTTCATAGAGCACTGCCTTCTTGGGAGTACTTGCAGAGTAAAAAGACATTCAGGGCCAGCTCCTCAAGGCATTTAAACACTTACCTTAGACTGAAAAACCTGTGTTTTTCTGAATCTTATCAATGCCCTGGTATAGGATAAAAGTTACTGTACAGCTAAAATATGTGAACATACAACACTGTCAAGATCTATTTTCTGTGCCAAAGCACAAGGAAAATGCACTACATGCAGCCAGGTGAAGGAACATAATCCCACAGTTGCCACACGCCTGTAATTTCTCTGCATGGGAATCATCGTCCTCAAAGCAATCTGAATTCATGTTGTCCCACAGCAATCTCACACAGAGGACAAAGCTTTGTCAAACAGTACTTATTTCTGAAAGTTATGGTTAGTGTTTTGTATCTCCTCCAGCAAACGAGGGAGGACACCACAGTGTGTTTTCTATCTGTCCGCACTAAAACCCAGAGAAATAAGAGCACCGTTACCACTCCATCTGCTTTACAGACAGCCTGACAGCTACAGACAGCTTTTCTCTCCACCTTCATAAGTGCTGCAGTGCAAAAGTTATCTCAGCTCTCTAAAACACACGCAAAAAGGCTTGCTGTTTCCCCCTTTCCTATTAATTAGGATCCAGTACTCTCTGCTCCACCACACTAATGACTATAGTCCAGGTGAATTTCCCCAGAGAAATAAAAAGAACCAGGCGTGGTAGAAAAAGGCTGACAAAGCAGAAAAGGAGATGAGTTTTCCATAACCTCACAGTGTGCTGCTGTTCAGTTGCTACATATATAAAAAAATACTCACTTTTGCAATTAGACCTGAGCAGGGGGAGCTAACCGCCCTCTAGAAGCACACTCCCTTGCTCCCTTGCTAACAGACTATGATGTCCTAAATCATCTGTGTATCTCCCTGAACCAGCCAGATTCAGACTTGGCCATTATTTTCGCTTTGCTGACCCAACAAAAATCTCTTTTATGGGAAGTTTCTATTGCTAACAAGCATTTCTACATGCAGCAGAGAAATGCTGCACTTAAAATACTGATTGCTTTCAGCACACCGTGTATTCTAGGCTGCCAATTCTTTCCTGGCCTGTTTCTGCTAGTTGACAATGCTTCTGTGGTGCAACATTTCTGTATCAACTACTTACCTACCCAAATACATACTGAATATTTATTTTATATTGGCTTATAATACTTATATAAGCCTATGCAGAATACATATACAGAAAATGTTGCTCCAGTAATGCCAAAATAGAAAACTAACCAATTATCTACAGCAGAAGTGCAGTGTAGTTTTCCTTTCCAGGGAACCTCTGGAGATGCTGAGACATCATTAGTTTTATTTACAGTGTAATTCAAAAAAGTGTTGTTGTTGCAAGTCATGATGCTTATTATCTCCTGTCAGTGACATTTTTACTGGGGGACATAAATATTACAGCAGTCCTATGAACATACAGGTATGTCGGGTAATTACATGGGGGCACCCATACAGACTGCACACTGCGATTACAGGGCAGTAGTTAGGAGAATTAGGTGGTGACTGACTTGGTTGAACTTTACAAATCTGTAAAGCTCTTTGTACTGTACACACAAAGCCTGTTCTGGGTGCTGCTCTCAAAAGACACCAATACAAGGCAGTGCATTTCTCAACTCTTGGGCCACGACAGCTATAGGACAGCTTTACCACAGTTCCAGCTCCCTGGGCTGGAGGAAATGTACCGTCACCTCTGCTTTTCATCTGTTCATCAGCAGAAATGGGACAGAAAAACAAAGGCAGAAGTGCTACTGCATAGCACTTGCCCGGCTCTGGCTCAGTCTCTTGCCAGAATACCTCTACCACATTGTCTAATGCATGGAGTCAAGCTATAGAAAGACATTTTCTCTCCTCCTATAGGATGGTCCCAATTTCCATACATGGGGCTGTACTAAGATAGGTGAGACTATTTGTTTGCATTTAAATTATGAATAAACTAGAGAGAGCTCAAGATTAGCTTCAGCACTCTCTCATTTGTTTCCCACCTGTAAGCATGCATAGGCCAGATAAATTAAAACTCAGACCTCAGCTGTAGAACCTTGGATCCTGCAAATACAAACCATCTGGAAGACTGGGATCAAACTTACTTCCTGCCTGGCTGATCTATGTGCCAGGGTGGCATACTGGTTTGCTTTCTTTTTCCAACAGAATAACAATGCATTCAAAAATGGCACTGAAAAATCAAATTTCAAATGGTATAGACATTAATTGGCCATTATTAGGAGAGTATTTCAAATAATTAAAATGAATCATAGCTGTTGCAGTCAATTATAGCTGTTGCAACAATTCATTCACTTGTTGACTCATTCACTTTAGCACATAAAGGTAAATAATTTGACTACCTAGCCTGCAATTAGAGACTTGAAGAACATAAACCAAACACAATTAAATGCTGTAGTGTTCAAATTGAATCACTGCTACCTGTAGATGATTGTTTCAGTCTTCTGGAGATAGAATTGTCTGCTGGAGTATGTCACAAAGAGATATGACCTCGCTGACAGATAGTCATGTGGCAGCAGTTTATGTAATTTACACTGCCAGCCTCCCAGATTTTCAGTTGGGTGAAGGCTTTTTATTCGCAGAAACTTCGGCACAAACATACCTGTAAGTGCCTGGAGACATGGATGCTGCTGTTAACACTACTGGCAAGCAGTGATAATGCAGGTGAGCTGTGGAGTGCATTCCTCCAGCAAACCAAGAACTGAAAGATCGTGTAGTTTATCAGCTTACGGAAATAGTTGGAATGCTACTGGTAATGTTAGGCTCTCTTATAATAAACATTTCGTTTCTTTGATTATCTATGTCTTTGTCAACGTATTTGCGTGCTTGTGGTCTCCTAAATGCCTGGAAGAAGCCAACACACATACACCAGACTATTCACTTACTCAGGTTCCTGTATTGATCCTCCGACACAATGGAATCTCTCAGGAACGGTCTTCCAGTCTTTTGCCATCTTAACCATTGCTCCTGCATCTAGGACACCATAGCCAAACAAATGGTTGAATTCCAGCCCAACGCCATTTCTACGCCACTGATGAACTTCATCATGAAGCTGGTTCCTCTTGGAGGTGAGCACTGTCAGATGCTGCATGTCTCTCCATGTCAGATCCAAGCTGTGGAAGAGCAGCATGGAAACCAAACAGTAGTGTTTCCAAGCAGAGAGTAAAGAAAGCGTGTTTGAGCAAGTCTTTTGGTAAAATTTGCTTCTATGATTCACACAGATATTTTATCTATGCACATATCACTAACAAAACTTCTGTTGATTTCAGTGGGAAGAATAGGTTTTAACTGTATAGTACTTCCCCAAAATATATTCCCCCAAATTGCAAAATTATTTCTGATTGTTTCCCTGTTCTCGAAAAATACTGCTTTTAGCTACACCGTATAGATCCACCACGTAATTTTAAAGCTAATAAAATAAGTAGGATATTATACCAGATCCCGAAAAGAATTCAAAAAGAAGTTGATGACAGAATTTTGCCTAGCCTTCCTCTTAAACATCACCCTCTTCTTCCTCCTGCTTTTCCCATGGACTTCTAGATTCATCCAGAGAAGCCCAAATCCGACGAAGCGGATGAGTTTTAACAACCAAGGTGTTAGTTGTTCAGTATTCTGTGAATATGGGTATATGGGCTGTGGGTGGCTGTAGGTATGCATTATGAGGTATGGTAGAGGTTTGTCACCCATGACACACTAGCATGGATGGATGAAGTCAAGTAACATCTGTCTAGATTCGGTTACCACTCTTCATCATCGGCTCTTGTCTTCCTAGATTTGCAGTGATTATGATGACAGAAAGGGCACTTAGAAGTTATTATTCTGGAAGCTTTAGAACTGACATTCTAATTCTACATAACTGAAGCTATTCTGGTTGTTTTATGATGAATTCTTTGAATATTACAATATGTCTGATTCAAATCATCAACCTAAAAGGATCCACTTTTCAGCTTTCTGCGCCCCAAGTAATAAGCATGTGTGCATGCTGAATGTTCGCCAGAACAACCAATTACCATCATTTTTCCAAGGTGACACAAGATAGCTGAAAACCAGATTATCATTTGCATCATTCTTACTGAAATACTAAGAGCTGCTAAATATCTTAAAATCGTACTTTCCCTTTCACAGATTGGTCTGTTTATACAGAAATGTCAGACATAGACTGCGTATGCGCTGACAGACATACTGCAGGCGAGAGGAGCCTGCACGGGGGATTGTCAGCCATTCCCGTGAAGGCTAGAGCATCTCATCCATTGTACGTACGTGCGCACGGCACAATTAAATAAAGCCAGTCTGGACGGAGATAACAGACGCTGACAGTTCTTTCTCTCCCTCACCTTCTTCTCAGAAAAAGCTAGGAACTCAATTGCAAACCAGGGTTATTAGTCTAGTTGGTACTCGTGATAGTTTGGCAAGAGTAATTCTAGTCTTCATGGACGGATCAAATGAAGAGGAATGATAATTATTACTGAGCTATTAAGGCTGTAGTCCAGGTTAAACATACCGTGGTCAGAAAATTCATTAAACTTTTATATTTTTATGGCCACATTTATTTATTGCTTGGCGCCAGTCCCACTGAATGAATTTGATAGTAGAAGCCCGAGTTAAGCACCTGCCATGAGAGTGTTACGTGTCTAAAACTTGAAATATAAGATTTGCCCCAAGTCACGCTCTGAGCCACTGGCCCAAGTCATTGCTCTGCTAATGATGTAACTTTGTCTCCTCTACCAAATCTTTATTCTTCTGCACCGCTGAAGAAAACTATGTACATAGTGCTCGCTTCCTGCCCTGGTTAGAGAAACTGAACTGTACGATTGAGCAAATGTTGCCTCGCTTCATAAAATAATTCAACACAAAGGAAGAAGATGATATAGGTTATTATAAGGAAAACTTTTCATAAACATCAGAGAAGAAGATAATGAAGCAAGATATATGAGTGGGCTCCAATGTCGTGAATAGCATGGAGATGGCAAATAGACAATGGATATTTATTCTTTCATGCAACAGAGCAATTATGTAGCACAGAAGCAAATTACCAGCAATTGGTTAGAAAAGACAAAGGAAACATTCCCCACTACCACAAAATACTGTTACTGTGGAACTGATTGCCACTGGATGACAATGGTGCCAAATACAGACAAGCTGAAAAGAGACAAATTCAAGGAAGATAAATCTGCCTGTGGTTATTAAACAGGAAAGGCCGACTGCTCTCTCTCTCCAAACCACTGATTGCCAAAGCTGTTGTTAAAAGACTGCTCTTAATCCCTGTTTGTTGTACTCTCCCCTAAGCATCTGTCGTTGCAGACAGTATGTGGCACAAGATGAACTCTTGTCTGATACTATAAGTTTGTTCTTAACTTTTTGTAGGCTGGGCATTCCACACTGGATATGTGGAGAAATGAAATAACCTCTCCCTCCAAACAGTGCTGGAGAAGACAAAGCCCTGAAAGCAGTGGATGGAGAGGCCACTGATAGAGTGAGTCAGTGAAAACGTATCTGCTGTACGGCTTTGGCATGACTGCTGCTCCATCTGTAAGGCCCTGTGCACGTCACTACTGTAGCAGTCAGATTGTTAGCTGCACGTTCTAGCCCCATGCCACAGACAGCCAACTTAAATGATGAGCAACATTAAACAAACTGCAGGCCCTCTCCTCTCGAGAGCTCACAAGGAATTTCTCAACAGCATACTTAGCCTCCAGGGCCAAGGCAAACACTCCGGCCGCTTCAGGGGCAGCTGCAGACGTTCCTGAGTGACGCAGGGTGCAGTTGCCATACAAATCCGTTGTAGCCTGCAATTATATGAGATGTAATTAATGAAACCAGCTAGTTCATTTTCCTTGCAGCTACAGACTCAGAAAAATATAGAAAGTGAAGTTTGTGCCCTAACTCTTTAGAATAAGTGTGTTTGTTTCTGTTTTCCTCTTCAGAATAGTATATAAAATTAAAACCACAGTGAGCCAGTTGCAAAAGGGGTGAATGCAAGAATAAATCATGATGTAGTAAAACAATGTTCATTACCACTTAGAACTCAAACTCATATAGATGGCATTTATTTCCTATAAACACAGTTTAACCAAAAGCCTTAAATTCCCTTGTGGTTATTAGAAGGATTTGAAACTAGGATTGTTAACAGCACTGAGCTTTCTAGCATTTCTGCAACTCCAGAACCAACAGCAGTACTAGGCTGCTATCTTGTATGCAGCTTCTTGTGTCTCTCTAGAAAAGACCAGAAGGAAACCTCAGAAATACATTTTATGGTGATAATTACAAAGGTGCCACAGACCATCTTGGCTGATGTCAGCACAGAGCTGGTATCAAGACAGAAACCAGTATTTTTCCATCTGCTACTGTACGTGGGCATTTAGGACTATACAGTGTGTCTTTGGGATTTGAGCCAGGGCCAAATCCCAAAGCATTTTGGGATGTATAACAGTTTTTGTCAAAAACTAACCTTGAGTTACTACCCCTGCATTTTCCACTACGTGAATAAGACTATGTCCTGGCAAGTCTGAAGGTGCTGAAAAGCAGCGATCAGTACAGTGGAAGAGAATCCCAATTACATTTGAACAGAAATGGCCTATTTTCCAGCTGTAGGTAAGACCCTGTAGGGGACCTGATGCTCCGCAAAGCCCAACAGGAGACTGAGGGTGATCTGGACTCCCAAATTTCCTCTGTGTGTGACTGAATGTCTTTCTGCTCTGTGAAGCTTGTAGTAAAACAGAAATCTAGTTTGTGACTGCTCTGCCAGTACAAGTAGGATCTCAAATGCTGACACTTTTCATTTAGATTTTGACAGAGACCTTAAAGAGTGCAATTTAATTTCTAAATCTGGTTTCTGATAAAGGAAAGCACCAGAAATATGAATCTGTAAGAGATGGAAGATCATTGCTGTTCTCAACATTAATCCCACATCTCGGCTCACAATTTTGGCACCATTATGTACCGTGGATGAGAAAATGCCCATCGCAACAAAGAACCATCTGCTGCTCCATAGCAGACAAAGTTGTAACAGGTTGTGGGAGCGTACAAAGACAGCAGCAACAGCACAATAATATCTGGACTCACCACGCCAGCCTCTGGATTTCTCTTCCTCCCATTACTGAAGGTGGAGGCTAATGTTGAAGAGCAGCTTTCATCATACAGAGCTGTCCGTCCATCATTTATAGCAGAATTGATGGAGATTGTCCACATGCTGGATGCATAACCATCACAGTTACAGTCATCATAGCTGCCCCCATCTCCAGAGGCCCAGACATAGATGCTTCCTTTGCCACCCCGGCCCTGTGAAAGGGGAAAAATCAAACCTCTTGAGTTAAATTGCAAATAGGAGATGGCAGCTACTTCAAACTGCACATCTAATTGTAAAGCTAGGCATCTATCAAGGAGAAAACTGGTCCAAACAAAATATACATCAACCACAAACAGAGATAATATGGACTTCTGCAGGTTATTAAAACACGGTTAACTGGCAGCCAGTTCTGCAACCTTATGTACACAGAGCACTTCCATTTATCTCGTTTTGCTTGACACCCTGCAGGCTTCTGTGCCAGATGCTGTGGATTCATTAGTGTTTATGTCAAGGTGTAAGTGCTATGAGGAAAGCATTCTTTTAAAAGGGCCATGGGTCATCTCACACGCTGGGTTTGTAAGATCCAATTAGGTTCAGGCAATGGCTGAAAAACTCTGTAAAACTGGCACCTTTTTCTCTTGATAGATTTTTCTCCAAAGGTATCACTGACTCAGAGCTGTTTGTCTGACAAAGCAGCTTCTACCACTGTCGTGGTTTAGCCCTATCTGGCATTTAGGTCCCACCAGTCACTCTACCACTCCACCCCCACTTCCCCCACCCTGCTAACAGGGGCGGAAAAACAAGGGAGGCTCGTAAAAGATGAGATAAGAATTATTTAATTTTATAAATGAAACTTATGGAGTTACTAACAATACTATTGCTGACAAGTAATTAGAACAGCAGAAGGAGAACATATGATACAGGATCTCAC